GGGAGGTGGGGTTGTGTGTGTGTGATAGAGGTTATTACAGTACACAGGAGAGGGAGAGGGGGGTGGGGTTGTGTGGTTGTGTCAGAGATTATTACAGTAACTAGCAGAGCGAGAGGGAGAGGAGGTGAGATTGTGTGTTTGTGTTAGAGATTATTATAGTACAAATCAGAGGGAGAGGGAAGTGAGGTTGTGTGTGTTTGATAGAGATTATTACAGTACAGAGCAGAGGGAGAGGAGGGTGAGGTTGTGTGTGTGTGATAGAGATTATTACAGTACACAGGAGAGTGGTTGAGATTGTTCGTGTGAGATAGACATTACTACAGTACACAGCAGAGGGAGAGGGGGTGAGATTATGTGTGTGTGATAGAGATTATTACAATACAAAGCAGAGGGAGAGGGGGGTGGGGTGGTGTGTGTGTGATAGAGATTATTACAGTGCACTGCAGAGGGAGAGGGAGGTGAGGTTGTATGTGTGTGATAGAGATTATTACAGTGCACAGCGGAGGGAGAGGGAGATGAGGTGGTGTGTGTGTGTGATAGAGATTATTAATGTACACAGCAGAGGGAGAGGAAGGTGAGGTTGTGTGTGTGTGATAGAGATTATCACAGTACACAGGAGAGGGGGTGAGATTGTTTGTGTGTGATAGAGATTATTACAGTACACAGCAGAGGGAGAGGAGGGTGGGGTTGTGTATGTGTGATTGTGAATATTACAGCGCACAGCAGAGGGAGAGGGAGGTGAGGTTGTGTGTTTGTGTTAGAGATTATTACAGTACACAGCAGAGGGAGAGGAGGGTGAGTTTGTGTGTGTGTGGTAGAGATTATTACAGTACACAGGAGAGGGGGTGAGATTGTTTGTGTGTGATAGAGATTATTACAGTACACAGCAGAGGGAGAGGAGGGTGGGGTTGTGTATGTGTGAAATGAATATTACAGCGCACAGCAGAGGGAGAGGGAGGTGAGGTTGTGTGTGTGTGATAGAGATTATTACAGTACACAGTAGAGGGAGAGGAAGGTAACGTTGTGTGTGTGATAGAAATTATTACAGTACACAGCAGAGGGAGAAGGGGTGCGATTGTGTGTGTGTGATAGATATTATTACAGTACACAGCAGAGGGAGAGGGGGGTGAGGTTGTGTGTCAGTGAGTGGTAGAGATTATTACAGTACACAGCAGAGGGAGAGGGAGGAGAGGTTGTGTGTGTGTGTGATGGAGATTATTACAGTGCACTGCAGAGGGAGAGGGATGTTAGGTTGTATGTGTGTGATAGAGATTATTACAGTGCACAGGAGAAAGAGAAGGGGTGAGATTGTTTGTGTGTGATAGAGATTGTTACAGTATACAGCAGAGGGAGAGGAGGGTGAGGTTGTGTGTGTGTGTGATAGAGATTATTACAGTACACAGCAGAGGGAGAGGGTGTAAGATTGTGTTTGTGATAGAGATTATTCCAGGAACTAGCAGAGGGAGAGGGAGGTGAGGTTGTGTGGTTGTATGATAGAGATTATTACAGTACACAGGAGAGAGAGAAGGGGTGAGATTGTGTGTGTGTGATCGAGATTATTACAGCACACAGCAGAGGGAGAGGGAGGTGAGTTTGTGTGTTTGTGATAGAGATTATTACAGTACACAGCAGAGGGAGAGGAGGGTGGGGTTGTGTATGTGTGAAATGAATATTACAGCGCACAGCAGAGGGAGAGGGAGGTGAGGTTGTGTGTGTGATAGAGATTATTACAGTACACAGCAGAGGGAGAAGGGGTGAGATTGTGTGTATGTGATAGAGATTATTACAGTACACAGGAGAGTGGGTGAGATTGTTTGTGTGTGATAGAGATTATTACAATACAAAGCAGAGGGAGAGGGGGGTGGGGTGGTGTGTGTGTGATAGAGATTATTACAGTGCACTGCAGAGGGAGAGGGACGTTAGGTTGTATGTGTGTGATAGAGATTATTACAGTACACAGCAGAGGGAGAGGGACGTTAGGTTGTATGTGTGTGATAGAGATTATTACAGTACACAGCAGAGGGAGAGGGAGGTGAGGTTGTGTGAGTGTGATAGAGATTATTGCAGTACACAGCAGACGGAGAGGGAGCTCAGGTTGTGCGTGTGTGACAGAGATTATTACAGTACACAGCAGAGGGAGAGGGAGGTGTGGTTGTGTGTGTGTGATAGAGATCATTACAGTCCACAGCAGAGGGAGAGGGAGCTCAGGTTGTGCGTGTGTGATAGAGATTATTACAGTACACAGGAGAGGGAGAGGGAGGTGAGATTGTGTGTGTGTGATAGAGATTATTACAGTCCACAGCAGATGGAGAGGGAATTGAGGTTGTGTGTGTGTGATAGAGATTATTACAATATACCATAGAGGGAGAGGGAGGTGTGGTTTTGTGTCTTTGATAGAGATTATTACAGTCCACAGCAGAGGGAGAGGGGGGTGAGTTTGTGAGGTTGTGATAGAAATTATTACAGTACACAGCAGAGGGAGAGGGAGGTGAAGTTGTGTGAGTGTGATAGAGATTATTACAGTACATAGCAGTGGGAGAGGGGGGTGGTATTGTGTGTGTGTGACAGAGATTTTTACAGTACACAGCAGAGGGAGAGAAGGGTGAGGTTGTGTGTGTGTGATACAGATTATTACAGTGGAAAGCAGAGTGAGAGGGATGTGAGGTTGTGTGTGTGATAGAGATTATTACAGTACACAGCAGAGGGAGAGGAAGGTGAGGTTGTATGTGTGTGACAGAGATGATTACAGTGCAAAGCAGAGGGAGAGGGAGGTGAGGTTGTGTGTGTGTGATAGAGATTATTCCCGTACACAGCAGAGGGAGAGGGAGGTGTGGTTGTGTGTGTGTGATAGAGATTATTACAGTACACAGGAGAGGGAGAGGGAGGTGAGATTGTGTGTGTGTGATAGAGATTATTACAGTCCACAGCAGAGGGAGAGGGAGCTCAGGTTGTGCGTGTGTGACAGAGATTATTACAGTACACAGCAGAGGGAGAGGGAGGTGAGGTTGTGTGAGTGTCATAGAGATTATTACAGTACACAGCAGAGGGAGAGGATGGTGAGGTTGTGTGTTTGTGATAGAGATTATTACAGTAAACAGGAGAGGGTTTGAGATTGTGTGTGTGTGATACAGATTATTACAGTCCACAGCAGAGGGAGAGGGAGCTCAGGTTGTGCATGTGTGATAGAGATTATTACAGTACACAGCAGAGGGAGAGGGAGGTGAGGTTGTGTGAGTGTGATAGAGATTTTTACAGTACACAGCAGACGGAGA